CATTGCTGGCCTCATAGGAAGGTGTGCTGCCCCCCAGGCTGTCTGTTGAGGTGGTCACAGTTGGTGGCATTGACACCTGTGTGGTGGCAGCCTTGCTGCTGGAGTGGAGACTCTCCCTGGTAGAAGCAGGCGTGGAGAGGCTGTGTGTCCATGCCTTGGGAAGTTCGGTGTAGGAGGAGCTGGTGGCACTGCTGGTTCCTGGGGAGCTGGCAGGGCTGCTTTCCTGCACAGGCGCAGTGCTGGGTGCAGAGGACGCCTCAGAGGCTGTGCTGGCCACAGCGCTGCTATCTGAGGGTGAGGAGCTGGGAACAGCAGGGGTGACAGGGGAGCTGGTGGTCCCCGAGGCTGTGGTGGTGGAGCGAACTGGGATGTGAAGAGCATTTGCGGAGCCCCGAGTCTGGGCCGTTTGGGTAACACTGGCCAATCCTGCAGATTGTGGCCCTGATGGGGAGGAAGCTGTCCTTCCACTGGTGGCTCTGGTGTGTGTGGGCTCTGAGGTGGTGGACCGGTCGGGAGTTGCATGGGACATTGGGCCTGAGGAGGGGACTTCTGTGACATAGGCTCCTGGGTCAACCTGGACCGAGCTCAAGCGTGAGGCAGATGTGTGAATGGCTGTGTGTCCTGCTGAGTCGGTCTCGCCTTCTAGCGTGGTCTGGGCAGATGTTGAAGTCCCCAGGGATTGGGTCACTATGTCCATGTCAGATACACTGGAGGATGATGGCTTGGATTTGGACGCCACATAGTCCTCTGTGGTCGAGGCGTGTGCAAGAGTAGCAGGGAATTGGGCTGAAGCAGTGGGTCTGGATTCCAGTACAGAGGTTGTGGTCTGCACATTGGACTTGGGCACTGCTGAGGAGGAGGAGGAAGAGAAGGAGATGGAGGTGTAGGAGGAGGAGGAGAAGGACGAGGAGGAGGAGGAGGAAGGATTTGTGTGCCAGGCTGTGGGGCCCTGAGAGCTGGCATCCTGGAAACGTGAGCTCTCCACCATGCTGTCCATTAAGGTCGTCACAGTGGGTGGCACGGACCCCTGTGTGAGGGTCATCTCCTCACTGATGTACTGGAGACTCTCCCTGGTGGTAGCAGCCGTGGAGAGGCTGGACCTCCGAACAGTGGCAGATTCCATGGAGGGTGAGCTGGTGGCGTCTCTGGTTCCTGGGGAGCTGGCAGTGCTGCTTTCCTGCTCAAGCACAATGCTGGGTACAGAGGACACCACAGATGCTGTGCTGGCCACAGGGCTGCTCCCTGAGCGTGTGGAGGTGGGCGCAGCTGGGATGGCCAGGGAGGTGGCTGTCCCCGAAGAGGAGGCTGCTGTGACATCCGTGCTTGGGCCAGCCTGGACCATGGCCATGTGCCCGCCTGATGTGTGGATGGCTGTGTGTGCAGTCGAGCTGGTCTCTCCTGCTGGTGTGGTCTGGGAAGTTGCTGAGGTCTCCAGGGAATGGGTCTCCACATCCGTCTCAGGGAACCTCATGGATGTGGATGTTGATTTGGACACCCCAGAGTCACCCGGGGTTGAGAGGTGAGTCAGAGTAATGGTTGATAGGAGTGAGGCAGAGGAGCTGGATTCCAGTTCAGAGGTGGTGGTCTGCATTGTGGACCGTACTCCTAAGGAGGAGGAGGAGGCAGGTTTTGAATACCGGGCTGTGGGGCCCCAAGAGCTGGCCTTGTGGGCAGGTGTGCTTGCCCCCTGGCTGTCCAGTGAGATGGTCACAGTCAGGGGTATTGACCCCTGTGTCCGGGTTGCAGCCTCGGTGGTGGACTGGAGACTCTCCCTGGTGGAAGCAGGCGTGGAGAAGCTGTGTGTCCATGTGGTTGGAGGCTGGGTAGAGGGGGAGACGGTGTCACTGCTGGTTGCTTTGGAGTTGGTGGAGCTGCTTTCCTGCTCAAGTGCAGCACTTTGGGCAGAGGGCACCTCAGAGTCTGCGCTGGTCACAGGGCTGCTCTCTGAGGGTGTGGAGCTGAGAGCAGCAGGGGTGGCCAGGGAGGTGGCTGTCCCCGAGGAGGAGGTGGCTGTGACATTGGTGCCTGGGCCAGGCTGGGTTGTGCTCGTGTGTCCACCTGATGTGTGGATGGCTGTGTGTGCAGTCGAGCTGGTCTCCCCTGCTGAAGTGGTCAGGGCAGATACCAAGGTCACCGGGAAATGGTTCTCTGTGTCCGACTCAGCGACCCCCATAGATGTGGGTGTTGATTTGGAAACCCCAGAGTCCCCCACTGTTGAGTGAAGAGGAAGAGTAGTTGTGGATTGTCCTGAGACAGAGGAGCCAGATGCCAGACCAGAGGTGGTGGTCTGCATGCTGGACCGTGGGACTCCTAAGGAGGAGGAGGCAGGGTTTTTCTGCCAGCCTGTGGAGCCCCGAGAGCTGGCACTGTGGGTATGTGAGCTTTCCCAAAGGCTGTCCATTGAGGTGGGCACAGTCTGTGGCATTGACTCCTGTGACAGCATGGCCGCCTCACTGGTGGACTGGAGACTCTCCCTGGTAGACGCAGGTGTGAAGAGGCTTTGTTTCCATGTGGCAGGAGATTCGGTTGAGGCAAAACTGGTAGCCTGGCTGGTTCCAGCAGAGCTGCTTTCCTGCACAGGCACAGTGCTGGGAGCAGAGGGGATGTCAGAGGCTGTCCTGGACCCAGGGCTGCTCCCTGTGGATGTGGAGCTGGGAGCAGCAGGGGTGGCTGGGGAGGTGCTGGCTCTCCAGTCTGTGGTGATGGTGGGACCCTGGTTGTGGAGAGTATCTGACCACTCCTGAGTGGTGGTCTTTTGGGGGAAGATGGTCACTCCTCCAGATTCTGGCCCTGATGGGGAAGAAGCTGTCCTTCCACTGGAGGCTCCAGTGTTCATGGGCTCTGAGGCGGTGGACCACTCAGGCTCCACGTGGGATGTTCTGCCTGAGGAGAGGACTGCTGTGACATTGGTGTCTGGGTCAGCCTGGGCTGTGCCCCTTGTGCTGCCAGATGTGTGGGTGGCTGTGTGCCCAGCCAAGCTGGTCTCCCCTGTAGGTGTGGTGTGGGCAGATGCCGAGGTCTTAGGGGAATGGGTCTGCGCGGCCTTCTCCGAGAACATTGAGGATGTGGCTGTGGATTTGGACACCATGGAAACTCCTGCGATTGAGGGGTGCGCAAGAGGAGTACTGGATTGTCCTGAAGCAGTGGGGAGGAATTCCAGT